AATAAATAAAAACACTTTTCAAAAGTGTATCTGCTATACTTTTTTATTATTTCAATACAAACTGTTTTTCTAAACAGGAAACCATACAAAATGATGATTAAAAACAAACAAAACGTAACTCTACAACTGATAACGCAAAACATAGGAGCCCCCAGTGGTGCAATGGGTTAAACCAGTGGTTCTCAACCTGTGGGCCCCCAGGTGTTTTGGACTACAACTCCCAGAAATCCCTGCTAGTTTACCAGCTGTTAAGATTTCTGGGAGTTGAAGGCTAAAACATCTGGAGACCCACAGGTTGAGAACCACTGGGTGAAACCTTTGTGCAGGCAGGGTTGCTAACCAAAAAGTTGGTGGTTTGAATCTGGAGAGCAGGGTGAGCTCCCCTCTGTCAGCTCCAGCTTCCCATGAGGGGACATGAGAGAAGCCTCCCACAGGATGGTAAAACATCCAGTTATCCCCTGGGCAATGTTCTTGCAGACAGCCAATTCTCTCACACCAGAAGAAACTTGTAGTTTTTCAAGTTGCTCCTGACATGAGAATATGTATGTATGTATGTATGTATGTAATATTAATTAAGTTTACTAGTTGATCATTCAGCATTTACTACCACAGTTGTAAGCAGGCTTATTTGGGAGTGAGCATCAATGCTGAACTCAATGTATAAAACTCGCCGGCAAAGGGCTGCTGTTGTCTTAACTGCATGCTGTCCAACTGTAATACACTATTAAGAGAAGCAATAATTTATTGCAAGGAATCTAGGTAAAGATTCAATAGAAAATGTCTTCCAAGTCTTTGGGCAGGGCTGGAGCACAGTGCCAACAGCTAACGGATCTTCCCTCGCTGAGGACGACATCAATGTGCCCTCTGTTTATTTAGTGGAATGTTGGAGGTGGAAAATTTTGATGATTCATAACTATTTCAGTTGGATGAAAACAGCATCAACTAGACATGATAGCTCAGTGCGGAGAATTGGACTTATCAGAGCTGAGATTCCTTTCTGCATGTCTCGGCTTGACGCTGGAACCTGTGTGGCAAAGTTCAAGACTGTGCCTCTGAGCATGAGATGTGTAACCACAACTCACATCTGGTGTTGCAATGAGCCTTCAAGTGTCTGATTTATGGTAGATTTTCTTGGTCAGATTTATCGAGAGGATTAGGATATATCATATATTCTCACGTATAAGTCAACCTTGTGCATCAGTCAAAGGCAGGTTTGGGAGTCAAAATTATAGATTTTGATATGACCTTCCTTAACTTATACATGAGAACAGTATATAGAGTAGAGATAACACTATGTAACATGATTTTTGTTCCTGGGTTATAAATGTCATTTCCTAATTGGTTCTATCATAAAAACATGGGGAAAAGTTTATTAAACTGCCAAAGCTTTGGGTTATTGTAGGTTTTTTCGGGTTCTAGAAGCATTCTCTTCTGACCTTTTGCCTGCATCTATGGCAAGCATCCTCAGAGGTTGCAACCTCTGAGGATGCTTGCCATAGATGCAGGCAAAACATCAGGAGAGAATGCTTCTAGAATATGGCCATATAGCCCGAAAAACCTACAACAACCCAGTGAATCCAGCCATGAAAGCCTTCTACAATACATTGTCAAAGCTTTGTTTTTGCGGGACATCCTGCACATATTTGCTATAGCTTTTGATGACTCTCAACCAATTCAGCCTAGTTTGTGACAGCCACAAAAACAAAGTTTCTGGAGCATAACAACCTCTTTCAAAGTACGTACTGCACATTTAAACAGGAAATAATACTTTCAAACCAGGAACAGATTTTTTTCTAATTTTGGTACATAGTGTAATTTTTGGAGACTAGTGAAAGAAACAGAAAGGAATTGATGTTTTCTGAAGTGGAAGGGTGTGTATATGAGAAGGATGGTTGGCGTCTGAGCCTCCCCTTTGTTGTTGCTGTTGTTGTTGTTTTGTGCCTTGAAGTAGTTCCAATCTATGGAGATCCTAAGGCAGGCTCCCCAAATTAAGGCCCATGGGTCATCCTCTATGGTCATTTTCCCCACCCTAAACTTTAGGCTTCGGGTTACCTTAAGTTTGAGGCATCTTCTACACTGCCATAAAAAATCCAGGTTCTTGTGCACTGCTATATAATCCAGAATAGCAAGGTTGATATTTCACATTAGCTGCTTTGAACTGGATTATCCGAGGGTCCTTCCAGACAGGCCCTATATCCAAGGGTCTGATCTCAGATCTTCTGCTTTGAACTGGATTATCCAAGAGTCCTTCCAGACAGGCCCTATATCCCAGGATCTGATCCCAGGTTTCCTGTTTATCCCAGATTATCTGGGAGTGCGGACTCATATAATCCAGTTTAAAGCAGAAAACCTGGGATCAGATCCTGGGATATAGGGCCTGTCTGGAAGGGCCCCGAGTCTACACTGCCAGAAAATCCAATTCAAAGCAGATCATCTAGATTTCATAAATGGGTGTAGAAAGGGCCTTAATAATAACTTTGCGCACTGACTATGGCCTCTTCTCTGGCCCCTTCCACATAGCTGTATAAAATCCACATTAAATTGGATTATATGACAGTGTGGACTCAGGTAACCCAGTTCAAAGGCGACACTGTGGGATTTTCTGCCTTGGTATTATAGGTTCTATGGCTGTGTGGAAGGACCCTTCAATTCCTTCATAGAAGGCTTTCATGGCTTGAATCACTGGGTCATTGTGAGTTTGGTCATGTTCCAGAAGCATTCTCTCCTGACATTTTGCCTACATCTATGGGCCCATCCCACAATATCTGCTTTGAACTGGGTTATCCATTGTCTGAGTCCACACTCAGACAATGTGGGATTTTTGCCTTGATATTCTGGGATATAGGGCTGTGTGGAAGGGCCCATTGTAGGATGTTCTGCCTTGATATTTTGGGTTATAGGCTTGTGTGGAAGGATCCTGAGACAAGTTCATCAGTTTCCATGGCTGAGCAGGGATTTAAATCCTGGTCTCCAGAGTCATAGGCAGACAATCCACAATTGGGTTATCTGAGTCCACACTGCCATATAACCCAGTTCAATTTGCATTTTATACAGCTGTGTGGAAGGGACCACAGTCCAACACTCAGGCACTATCCCACACTGATTCTTAAGTATATACAGACACAAATTTAGAGCAATATCCTAAGAAGAATTGTTCACAGTGAGACACATCAACAATGATTCCTTCTCATACTTTTAACCAGGGGTCCTCAAACTAAGGCCCGGGGGCCGGATACGGCCCTCCAAGGTCATTTACCTGGCCCTCGCTCAGGATCAACCTAAAAGTGAAACAACTTGAAAGCACAAAACTACAACAACATCCTATCTCATCAGCCAAAAGCAGGCCCACACTTCCCACTAAAATATTAATAAGTTTATATTTGTTAAAATTGTTCTTCAATTATTGTATTGTTTTTAAGTCGGTTTTGCACTACAAATAAGATATGTGCAGTGTGCATAGGAATTCATTCATGTTTTTTTTCCAAATTATAATCCGGCCCTGCAACAGTTTGAGGGACTGTGAGTTGGCCCTCTGTTTAAAAAGTTTGAGGACCCCTGCTTTTAACCCATATTTTCTATGGGCCCTTCCACACAGTCATATAACCCAGGATATCAAGGCAGAAAATCCCAGAATATCTGTTTTGAACTGGGTTATCCGAGTCCACTTTGCCACATATTCCAGTTGAAAGTAGATACTGTGGGGTTTTCTGCCTTAATATTCTGGGATATAGGGCTGTGTGGAAGGGCCCTGAGTCCACAATCAGATATTGTGGAATTCCTGCCTTGATATTCTGGGATATAGGGTTGTGCGGAAGGGCTCCGAGTCCACACTGAGATATTGTGGGGCTTTCCACCTTGATATTCTGGGATATAGGGTTGTGTGGAAGGGCTCTGAGTCCAACCTCGGATATTGTGGGACTTTCTACCTTGATATTCTGGGATATAGGGCTGTGTGGAAGGGCTCTGTGTGAGTGCACACTCAGATATTGAGGGATTTCCTGCCTTGATATTCTGGTATATAGGGTTGTGTGGAAGGGCTCTGAGTCCACACTSAGATATTGTGGGATTTCCTGCCTTGATRTTCTGGGCTATAGGGCTGTGTGGAAGGGCTCTGAGTCCACACTCAGATATTGTGGGACTTTCTACCTTGATATTCTGGGATACAGAGCTGTGTGGAAGGGCTCTGAGTCCACACTGAGATATTGTGGGGCTTTCTACCTTGATATTCTGGGATAKAGGGCTGTGTGGAAGGGCCCTGAATCCACACTGAGATATTGTGGGRCTTTCYACCTTGATATTCTGGGATATAGGGCTGTGTGGAAGGGCYCTGARTCCACACTGAGATATTGTGRGASTTYCYRCCTTGATATTCTGGGATATAGGGCTGTGTGGAAGGGCHCTGARTCCACACTGAGATATTGTGAGATTTCCTGCCTTGATATTCTGGGATATAGGGCTGTGTGGAAGGGCTCTGAGTCCACACTGAGATATTGTGAGAGTTYCTRCCTTGATATTCTGGKATACAGAGCTGTGTGGAAGGGCCCTGAGTCCACACTTAGATATTGTGAGATTTCCTGCCTTGATATTCTGGGATATAGGGCTGTGTGGAAGGGCCCTGAATCCACACTGAGATATTGTGGGGCTTTCTACCTTGATATTCTGGGATATATGGCTGCGTGGAAGTGCCCTGAGTCCATAATCAGATAATATGAGATTTCCTGCCTTGATATTCTGGGATATAGGGCTGTGTGGAAGGGCTCTGAGTCCACAATGARATACTGTGGGTTTTTCTGCCTTGATATTCTGGGCTATAGGGCTTTGTGGAAGGGCCCTGAGTCCACACTCAGATATTGTGGGATTTCCTGCCTCGATATTCTGGGCTACATGGGTGTATGGTATGCCCCCATGCCCTCTTTGAAATCTGCGGCCTCAGTCCCGGCCTCCCTCGTTGCTTTCCCGCCCAGCGAGTGTCTACATGCAGAGCTTATTGCGCGACTGACCTGGAAGATGAGCACCTTGAAGTGGTTCCTGCGGAGGAGCTGGGCGTGGTTGTGCTCGAGGCGCTTGACCTGGGCGCACTGGCGGTCCATGCGCTCGCGCACCTCGCGCGTGTGGGCGCTGACCTTGCGCGACTTCTCCAGCAGCTTGGCCACCGTGTTGGAGGTGGAGGTGTGGTGCTTGCACAGCTTGCTCAGGTCGCTCTGGATGCCCTTGACCGAGCCCTCCAGCTCGATCTGCCGCTGCTCCATCTTGGCCTGCTTCTCCTGCACCGCGTCCAGCATGTTGACCAGCTTGTCCAGCAGGGTCAGCACCGTGATGGCGTTGACTTGCTGCGAGGGGTCGCGCGAGCCGGCCTCCCCGGAGCCCGTCGAGGGCAGCAGCTGCTTCAAGCTCGGACTGCGGCTGCCCGAAGGCACGGGGCTGCTGCTGCGGGCCTCCTCCGAGCCGGGAGAGACCCGCGCCCCGCTCTTCTCCACTTGCACCCCGTCTTCCCCCATCGCTTCTCTCACTTCTGCGGATGCCAGCTTTGCAAAAGGCCCGGACTCTTCCCTGCCTGCCTGCCTGCTTTCAACGAGCCTGTTCCCCTTCTAGAGTGGGCTCAAGTTGCTCCAAACTGTTGCGCCCAACTGGCCTCCAAGTTCCACTTGCCTTTGGCCCTCCTCCTCCTCCTCAGCCTCTCCCTTTGTCATATTTCACCCATGACTTCATGGGCGAGGGCGGGGAAAAAGGAAGCCACACAAACACACACACACACTTTGAGCCCGGCCCAGCACCGGAGCCTGCCATTGGCTTGCAAAGTCTGGAAACTGAAAAAAGCTGGCTGCTGGGCAACGCAAAGGAGTGGACGGCTCCCCTCCCAAAAGGTTCATTTTTCCTGGGCTGCTCTGGCTTCAATCTCTCTCTCTCTCTCTCTCATGGAAAGAATGGCGTGCGTTGACCCTGCATCTGGATCCAAAGCGAGGAAATGGCAGGGAGGGGAACAAATGGAAACAGCCCCAGGACATCTTATTTGTGCAAAGTTTGGGCTTCCCCTCCCAAGGTCTCCCCTCTGCACTCGCTGCTTATTAACAGCATGTACAGGCAGTCCCTGAGTTGTATTATCAAAGACTTTCATGGCCGGAATCACTGGCCATGTTCCAGAAGCATTCTCTCCTGACATTTCACCTGCATCTATGGCGGGCATCCCCTCTGCACTGGCTGCTTATTAAAAGTATGCACAGGCAGTCCCTGAGTTGTATTGTCGAAGGCTTTCATGGCTGGAATCACTGGGTTGTAAGTTTTTTGAGCTGTATGGCCATGTTCCAGAAACATTCTCTCCTGATGTTTCTCCTGCATCTATGGCAGGCATCCTCAGAGGTTGTTAAGTCTGTTGGAAACTAAGCAAGTGAGGTTTATATATTTACTTACTTACTTAGGCAATCCCTCATTGACCGAGTGAGATTGTCCGGAAATAGTATGATAGCTGGGTCTTGGAAGCTCCGAGCATTATGGAGATGCTGCATCGCTCCTTCAGGAGCGCTGTTTGCAGAACGCAGAACAGAACACAGATCTCATAGAAGGAAAGTAAGAGTTCCTTAATGATAACACCCTAACCCTAATGCTAACCCTAATTCTAACCCAAACCCTAAACCTTAGCCTAACCCTGAGTCTAACCCTTAGCCCTAAACCTTACCCTAACCATAAACCTTACCCTAAGTCTAACCCCTAACCCTTACCCTAAGCCTAACCACTAGCCCTAAACCTTACCCTAAGCCTAATCCTTACCCTAAACCTAACCCTAGCCCTAAACCTTACGCTAAGCCTAACCCCTAATCCTAACCCTTACCCTAAGTCTAACCCCTAGCCCTAACCCTCACCCTAAGACTAACCCCTAGCCCTAAACCTTACCCTAAACCTAACCCCTAACTCTAATCCTAACCCTTACCCTAAGCCTAACCCCTAATCCTAACCCTTACCATTTATTTATTTATTTATTTACGACATTTATATGCCACTCTTCTCATCCCGAAGCAGCTTACAATATTATATTATTAGCATAGTACAATATCAGTTTTAAATATTGCTATATTGTACTATACCAATTATATTGTAATATTATTAGTAATATTACATGTAATATAAATATATTATTATAATAATATATTATTATTATTAGTATTATATTGCATTACATTATGATATTATAAATATTATATGTATATACAATATATTGTATTGTATTATTAGAATAGCACAGGAGACAAGATGGAACTGTCCCCTGCCCCCCCCCCCCTTAACTCCGGCCCACAATAAACCCACATATATGACCAAATTGTAACATGCAACCTTAAAATAAATTTAACTTAAATTATATCAGCATAAAAAACATGAGCCTCAATTCATAGAAATTACTCAAGGTTCATTTGCAATAATGTTGACATTAATTGCATTACCAATGATGTCAACAAGGCCAGCCGGGCCAACAGAGCCAGAGTATGAAAACAATTTCCAGTCGAAGGTATCGTACGTATATATGTATGTAACCCTTGTTACCCCTCCCTATGCTATCCATAGCTCTCCCCCCCCCCTCTGGAGTTACACTTTTAAAATATATGTATTTTGACTTACACACAAATTCAACTTGAGAACAAATCTACAGAACCTATCTTGTCACTGCCCCTCAAATATTGAACTATTAGCTGCTGGGCTGCCTGAGCTGGGGCCAGAAACCCTGCCCAAACCAAGGTGTGTAGGATCCAAAGCCAGCCAAGTTATTTTGGTACCGGAGGCAGAACATAACCACAAACGCACTGCCTCTGCCCATCCTTGATTCAAAAACTGTAACCAACAACAGCAAATCCGTTCTGGCCTTTCACGATATTCAACATCTGCTTCCCGAGGCAACAACTTCATTCTGCATAAAGATAGGGACTCCTGACCGAGGCTTTTATGGTACAATCAACTTGCCTTGTTGCAAAACCTTATAGAAGTCCAGACATTGTTATTTCCAATTATGTAACTTTCAAAGTTTTCTATGGCTAGCTATTTTTTTTAAATGAACAATCGTAAAAAGGTTTTTTAAAATTCTTTAAAATTCATTTCTTCTTGTTTTTAATTTACTGGAGGATTTCACCCCTGGAAAAAGGGAAATTACAAAATACATACATAGATTTTCTTTCTCACTAAAATAAATAATTAAGGAGAAAAAGAATCTCTGCCAAAGCCCTTCATGTTGGAGAATCAAAATATGGTTAGAACAGTGATTACATTATTATCGTGTATACTGTGCGAGTGTGTGCTGTCCTCCCCTGAAATTATACACAAATCTTGCCACTCTAGATTTTTTCTGCTTTTTTTTCCATGTCAGGAGCAACTTGAGAAACTGCAAGTCGCTTCTGGTGTGAGAGAATTGGCCGTCTGCAAGGACGTTGCCCAGGGGACACCCAGATGTTTTTGATGTTTTTACCTTGTGAGAGGCTTCTCTCGTGTCCCCACATGAGGAGCTGGAGCTGACAGAGGGAGGGGAGCTCACCCATGCTCTCTGCAGATTCAAACCTCCAACCTGTCCTACTGGCACAAGGGTTTAATCCATCGCGCCACCGGAGGCTCCTTATTTCTGCTTAAATTGAAGAATAAATTGGTTGGTTTTCCTTTGTTGTTGCTGTTGTGTGCCTTCAAATTAGTATCAACTTATGATGTCGCTAAAGTGACTCTATCACCAAGGGCAAATGCCAGGGAGGATGTGGTGGCAAGATTACTTTGGTTTGAGAGCACTTTCTTCTGAGGCTGAGATTGCGACTTCCTCAAAGTCACCCAGGAAGTTGTTGAAGGCTTTCATGACCAGAATCACTGGGTTGCTGGTAGCATTTGTTGGCTTTTCTTCTTGGGTCTGTAGATAATTTCTATGTTGTGCATCTCCATTAGCTTCTCTATGTGGTCAGTGGTTCCCTTGATGTGTGGTAATAACACTTTTCCTCTGAAATTCCAGGCATGAAACAATCAGGGCCAGCTAATACCTCCAAACAAAGGATTCTCCCAGGCAGGAAGCAGCCAGGCTTTGGAGCTGAAAAGCAATTAAATGTTAATCAAGGTGGCCAATTGTACCATTCACTTGCTTCGGTCAGGCAAGAGTTCTTTCTCCCACCCTGTACGTTCCACAGATATGTAAATCCCACTTGCCTTGTTTCCACCAAACCTAAAAACTTCTGCGGATGCCTGCCATAGATGTGGATGAAACACCAGGAGAGAATGCTTCTGGAACATGGCCATACAGCCTGGAAAACTCACAGCAACTCACCAAGTTTCATGGGGGATTCTAATCCAGGTCTCCAAAGTCATAGTCCAATGCACAAACCACCAAAACACACTGGCTCTCATTTAGTTTCCCTTGCCCCACACAATCCTATGGAGTTTTGATATATTTTTTCCATCATTTTCTTGGGGATGAGGGTGGGATTTTCTTTGAGTCATGGGACCCTTCCATGCCACATCTTTATGGCACTACAAATCTCACTTGAACTGCCACGACTGCATCCAAGGTCATTTGGTCAGAAGCACCTGAGGAGCTTTCTGGCTGAAGATTCTAAATTCCTCTCCTTACATTGCCAGTCCAACACAGTTAAAGTGGAATCACATTGCTCTATCTGATTAGAATGAGGAGACCCTGGATAAAAACATTGAACATAACCTTTAGGTTCAAAGAGATTGGTGAAGATAGGAGCTTCTGCCAGTGCCCTATTCATTACCATCTGCCAGCTGAGAGAGCCAATAGTCAAAGCAACTCTGGTCTTAGAGATTTTGGGACAGTAACCCAGGTTCTTTTGCAGCAGATTTCAGGACAGGCTTCCTGCCTGAACTGGAATGCTAAGGGGTTCTACCAAGATAGAGATCAACTCTGAAGATGTTCCCGATTTGGAAGAATTGCTAGTTCAGAGCAAAATTAAGGATAAAGAAGCAGAAGTCTAAGGGCTCTTCTACACATGAACTAAATCCTAGAACTACTGGGATAAAAGGGACCAGGATGGCTAAATGATGTTTTGTGAAAATGTGCGCAGAATCGTGTTAACAGCTGATATGCACATGTTTAATTCTGCCCCCCAAATGTGCATATTTTCATGAGTGTATTTCTTGCAGTCATTGAAAACATGTGGCTTCCTTCCTGTCCACTGATGTGGACTGCTTCAGCACACGTGCATATTTCAAAAGCCCAAAACAGCTGATTGGGCTATCAAAACATGGAGTCATGGATACACAGGTAGCTCAAAGGAAGCACAATTGGAAAGCAATTAGAACTCTTTGCAACAATTCCTTTTCCCCCCCTGATCTTTATGATTTTAAACAGATATTGAATTTACAATTGGGTGAGGAGTGAGAATAAGAATTCTGCTTGTATGTACATTGGGATATCTGCATGTGTCCAGTGCACTTCGGAGTGGATTTTTAAAAAATGGGTGGATGTCCACCATCTATTTTGCAGATTTCTAAAATTTGCTACAAAGAAAGGTGTTAGTATGGCGGGGACTATTTATCAGGACTGAACGATCTGTGCCTGAACTATTTTAAACCCACTTATTTAACCCACATTTTGATGCTGTCCAGAGGCTCCCTTAGGTCCTCAAAGCTGTACATCAATACTGAGCACTTGGACCAAAGATTGACTAACCAGGCAGGTGAGTCACTTGGTCACAGCTTCCTCTTATAGTTAAATGTGTCATAATTCCGTTTAAAAT